CCCGCGCCGCCGGGGAGCGCCGGCTCGGTGCAGCCCTGCCCCGGCCGCGGAGGGGCTGCAGCCCCCCGGGCACCGGCCCCCGGAGCGCGGCTGCTCTGCGGCGGGGACTGCATGTCGGCGCAGGGCTCCGGAGTGGTTAACCTGCCGGCCTTTTCAGCGGGACTGAAGTTCAGACTGTACTGCTTTCCTAAGTTTTTTTTTAATTATCATCTCCGTTCGTCCGTAGTTTGCAGCCTTTATAAGGCTTTGAGATGTATCAGAATGAGATGTGGTGTACAGTGCTTAGAGTACTTATTCCATGTGTATATGTTTGGACTCGTTCAAAGACTTGTGATAGAATCTCCATAGATTCAAAATAATTATTTCAGACTGGAAGCAGTATAAAGGTATTACTACGTGATACATCACAGACCTCACTTTCTTGCAGAAAATAGTGTTCTAATGTGGAACTTGGTTGTCTCCACTTGGAGAGCATATTTCAGAGAAAGCTGCAGTTTGAGTCACAGGTGCGTAGACACCTAGTGGGGAGAAGACTTGGTCTCCAAGCAAATTTTCCTGCTTACACCTCAATTCTCATTATTTCAGTGTCCCCCTGAGTATGTTAGTTTGCTCTTCTATCTACCGAGCTTCTCCTGCAGTGGAAGGGAGCTGGTGTTAGGCACTATTTGTCTGGGGGTTTTTTGAATTAGTATTAGAGAAATTGCAGTGCAAGGAAATACGGTTATTAAATTTGTTAATATAAAGGTGAAGAAAATCTTTGCATCTTGTACTAGGCATGCTGTACCAGTAACCAGCCCATCCCTCTGGTATCACTGTGCACATATATGTGTTGTAAAAGTTTTTATTCTCCAGCCCCAAAGGCATGATAGCTTGTGTGGGAGGAAACCCTTGGGTACCAGTGAAGTGGGAGCCAGATGTCATTTTTAACACGGGAAGTAGGGGAGGGTGAAGGGGAATATTTCATGTCCCCTTTGTTTTCCACCTAAATTTGTAGGAATATATTGAGTTTTTCTGTTGAATTTTAAATTTTATCCCTACTGAAATGTTCAACATAAGGCATTCTGCTGAGAGACTGGAATTCTGCCTGAACTCAGGAATCTTTTAGGGGCATCATGCTCTTACACAGTAAATAAAAAACAAATGAACATTGATTCTCTTACAATACTTCTTCCTCCTTTTCCATTTGACCAGCCAAATGGAAATCCAGTAATAAAATCATCTCAAATAGAGGAGTGTTTTTTCCCTGAAGTGTTTGGTTTGTTTGTTTTAATCTATTTAAAATGGTGTCCAAATATATAGCTTGGACTAGTCAGCTTAAGTCAGTTTGAGTCAAAATGCCTGTATGTAGAGGCTGTGTAATTTCAAGTGGAGTAAAGGGATTTTTTTTATATACAGGAGCTTAGCCAAGCACTCTAAGAGAGCATTTTGGATACACTAGTGGTGTTACTAGGCAGGTGTGGAAAACTGGTGTTTGTCCCTGTGTTAGATCTATATATAAGGCTCTTGAACTCTGAGTCTTAGTTCATCCCTGAACCTGAGACATAGTAACAATAGAAAAAGGCGTAAATCCAAGGAGTTCAGAATGGCTGACTCACAGGAGTGTCTCCAGGTACATGAACCATAGATCAGGAGGGCAGATCCCAGGTACTCTGTACTGAGGGTGGTGCTGATAAGTGAGTATGAAGAGGTACTGCAGCTCTGAGCCCCAGGGAAACTGGATCTAAAGAAACTTTGCTACCATAACTTCTTTGAGTTTTTCTAACGGTTTGAGTTTTTAAAATATGCTTTAAAATTGTCATAAGAAGCTCTACTACAACATTTCCAGTTCTGTATTTTCAAGAGATGCATAAGAGACAGAAGTACTAATTTTAAATGTATGGCCATAAAGTTGCTATCATACGTTTGATAATAAAAGATCAGAGGAGTAGGTCAAGTCAGTTGAATTATGCAGTGTTTAGAAGACTTCGTTGGCTGCCAAAATGCCCATAGGCAGTAGGAGTTAAATAAGTAGTTGTAGCAGAGCACTTGTTGAACCTTCCTTAAAAAGAAAATAAATATTTCAGAGTATTTAAAGTAGTCAAAGTGGTAATTTTCTATCAGGCTTTGCTGTGTACATAGTTGGTTTTGATTGGAAACATTTGTATTAATCATAACACTTGGATCAAAACTAAGTGCTTTTTTTTTTTTTTCTCTTGCTACATGAAACAGGAGAAATCCAGCTTGGATCAAAACTGTGTAAGTGCTTTTTTTTTTTTTCTCTTGCTACATGAAACAGGAGAAATCCATGCTTTTGTAAAGGCTTCTCTGCTATTTAATTGATACATTGACACTTTTTCCCCAGTTTTTGTTGATAGACTTTTCTCTGGTAGAAGAGGCAAAATTAAATGTAAGTGAAACTATTCATTCTAATTACAAAGTCTGTGATATTTGGTAGCATCAGTCAGGTAGGCAACATAGTTTGGTTTTTCAGAAGTGGCTGCAGAAACTTCTAATGTCATTAAAACTTTGGTTGGAGCTGGGTGCCTAATACACGTGGATAGATTTTCAAGTTGTTAAAATAAATACTTATGTGCAAGCTTTTTGAAACAGGAAGTCTAATTCAGGCTCTCATAATTCCTACAACAAAAACTGGTTGCAAGGGATGATAAGGAAATTCTTCCAGAACTTAACAAGATTTTCTTCTGTGCTCTGTCACGAGAGATGTGCAAATGCTGCAGGGACCTGATGGGCTGAAGAGGAGCCACATACAAATTAGGGATCAGGTTCATTCACTGGCACAGAAAGCCCGTATGCATTCTTATAAACACTTCTTAGCTTGTCAGTTAGTCACATTTCAAAGGACTTGATGACTGAGGCATTAGAAAAAATGGTGTGGAAAAGAGCTGTCAGATGTTCCCTGTTCCAGCTCTGTCTACTGGTGTCTCTTTACAGTGTAAAAAGGGAGTGTTTCACAAAAAAAAAAAAAGAGAAGAGCTTTCTATACACTGAATACATAGTACATAGTCAATATTTACCTGCTGGTATTACACAGCCCTCTCAGGTCTTTTATTCAGATGTACTTTAGAACTTTGAGTGCAGCTTTGTGTAGTTAGTACTTTCTGGTTTCCAGTATAGCATTTCAAATTATGATTTGGCTTGTCTTTTTAACTAGATGAAAATGAGTAACAGTTGAAATAATGTTTAGAAAGCTTTCACTGTTCTATATGTCTTCAAGCAACTGTTCTCCAAATAGATTTGTGTTTTAGTCATATTTTTTCTTTTACTCTATGGTTGGGCAACCTTGAGCTAAAAGTTCAGGCCTGCGTTCTCTTGCCTTTAATTTAATTTAAGCATGCAGCCTGATACTTCACTCCTGCTAGGGCTGCTTAGGTGGTCTGGGTGTGCCTGTTTCAGTTGCTGATTGTTTTTCTAGTATTATACCATAAACACATTAAAAAACATCTGGAAGATAGGGGAGTGGTAAAGCCCCTCTTTAAAAACAGCAAAAGGGAAAATATGGTAGTCATCAGGTAAAAGTTCTTTTGAGTCTTTGGTTCTTCTACAGATTACAAGAAGACACGTTCCTCCAAAAGATTTTTGAAATACAGGCTTTAGGGTGGGGGCTGTTGCCCATCCTCACTCTTGTCATAAACAGGAGGAGACTAGATACCCCATTGGTCAATGCTAATTACAGTAAGCTCCTCCTGTGTCTTGACAGACCTTTTGTGGAGAAGGGGTGTGGCTGTCTGGCTTCAGGAAGATAATATATAAAATCTCGCTGCCAGGTTAGATACTGCGCTAGAGGAATAGCTCCAGGGCTTAGCCCTCTCACCCTGAGACTTTTCAGTAGCTGTAAGTCACAGAGAAGGAAGCGTGCCTCATACTGCAGGGGTACACATTTGGTTCAAGTAATTTGACATATGTCCTTTATAAAAATGCAGACATTACCTGTAGATATTTTTGTGCTCTTGTTTGATTTTATTGTCAGGTAGGATTCTTGTGTGGAACACAGTCTTTGCTGGGGTTGCAGAAAGCTTAAGTCAGAGGTACAATACCAAGTTCACAGTCATCAAGAGAATGTGAAATTATTTAATCAGATTTCTCTTCTCTTTCCAGGAAAAGCATGTGTGCAGAGTTTGGTGGCAGAATATTTAAGGTATGTGGGCAGTCTGTGGCAAATACATCTGAAGAAAGCGTGACCGGCTAAAGAGTTGGCTGAACTTGTGTATGGAGACAAAGTGCCGGGAAGCCCAGGAAAAGAACTAATTGGAAGACTATTGCTAGACACAGAAGAATTGGAACACTTAACTTCTGCAGCAGACAGTGACTAAGAATAAATACATTGGTAAAAACATCAGCAGTGAAAAGGCAGACTGTGTTTTTTC